TTCTCCAAAAAATGCATCTCATAGCCTTCAAAGTCTCGAGGCTAAACTCTTGAGCAAGTTTGTAAATATTTTCTTCATCAAAACACCAGAAAGAACGGTTAGAATCTAGTGCCCCACTCAATTGAGGCAATCTAAATGATAACTCAGCAAGTTTGTAAATATTTTCTTAATCAAAAGAATGGAAAGAAAACCAGCTCGACGGGCTGGCGGAGAAATCCATTTTGGGTCTGCTCGTCTCCTCGTTCTTGTTTTGTTTTGGGGGGATTGGGAATTTTTTTGAATTTTGCAAGTAAGGGTGTGCTTTAGTTTAGAGTTTTTCTTATATTTTAATGAAACTTTACACTTTTAGGTTTTCATGTCTTTTTTAAATAAAATCATTGGGCTATAGAAAATTTAGTATAAATTTAGAGTAATGGTTTGGATATGTTCATCTAAACCATTTTCCTAGTTACACAAAATCCTATTATTAAATAAAACTAGACAAGATTTTAAATAGCACTGGGCCAAATACCTAAATCGAAAAATTTTATAAGCACTAAACTAACTCTGGATCCGGAGGAGGGCTGGGCCGGGGACTGGGTTGGCCCAACCCTGGATCCGCCACTGCCCGTGGTTTGGGTTTTGTTGCCATCCGCCCATCCCTAACCACAACTTCCTTTCAGGTCCTCTGGAATGGTGGAGAAACTAAAAGCTTCAAGCTATCAAGAGGTTTAAGACAGGGATGCCCCTCTCTCACCCTACCTCTTTACTTTATGCATTGAACGCCTGAGCCACTGCATTATGAAAGAGTACAAGGAAGGGAACTAGAAACCTGTCTGTTTATCTCCTAATGGTCCTGCCTTAACCCATCTTTTCTTTGCTAATGACCTTATGCTTTTCTCCCATGCATGTCCTGAACAAGCTCATGTTGTCCTTGATTGCCTTAGTTCTTTCTACTTAGTTTCTGGTGAACTTGTTAGTAAAGAAAAATCCCGTATTTTCTTCTCTAAGAATGTTAGAACCAACACTAGGCAGAACATTTGTACGAAGCTGGAAATACAGGAAACAAATGATCTTGGTAGATATCTTGGTGTACCTGTTATTCATGGGAGGATCATTAGGAATACCTACAAATACATTCTTGATAGAATTTATAGAAGCCTCACCTCCTGGAAGGCTAGAACCCTTTCCCTTGCTGGCAGGGTTACACTTGCTACTTCAGTTTTGAATGTCATCCCTATTTATGCTATGAAAACAACACCTATTCCCTTGACTGTGTGTGACGTTATTGATAAGAAAATTGGAGGGTTTGTTTGGGGATCTCAAGAGGGGAAAAGAAAACCTCACTTTGTGTCTTGGGAGCAAATTTGTAAACCTAAGAAGCTAGGGGGTTTGGGGCTTAGATATGCCCACTGCTTAAACAAAGCTTATATGATCAACTTGCTTGGCATATTTTCAACAATGAGAATGACCTCTGGGTTAAAGTCCCATAAGGGAAGTATTACAAGCATAGGAATGGGGAGATTATTTCAATGAAAAAATCTAATCACTCCAGTTTGTGGAAAGCTATTGTTCAGGCAATGACTCTTATGAAGGAAGCCTCCTGCTGGAGCATCTGTGATGGGGAGACAACTAGCTTTTGGAAGCATCCCTGGCTTGATTGCGGAGTTATTCTGGAAGACTACCTCTCTCAGGACATCACCACTAAGGAAAGAGAGTCACCAGTCTCCAATTAGGTCACCCAAACAGGTGAGTGGAATTGGGAGCGACTGCAACCTCTCCTCCCTGATGAACTGTTATCTCTGATTGTAGGTGCAGAACCACCTAAACCAGAGCTTGGAGAGGACAAAATGTCATGGGGCTTGAACGTGATGGAAGATCTCTTCCTCCCCAGGGTCATCGGGTAGTTTCTTCATTTTATGGTGTTTAAACAGAATTTTATCTCAACAACAGCATCAGCGAATCCCATCGGCCCAACGGGCCGGGCATGATGCTAGTTTATATAGAGTATATGATACAATTCCCTTATACCTCTAAATACTCATAAGTATATTGTTATTAGTCTATTGATACTAACAAAATTATCAATTAATCAACTCCCGATTGAGACACCATCTGAGCTTTGCTTGACTTATTGTACTCATCAGAGTCCCCCACCCTCTCAATTGACAAGACAAGCCGTGAAACACGAGCAAACTATTCCAACACCATACTCACCCGGAAGCCGTCCAAAAACAGAATCTCCAAACTTACGTCGACATGCCTCGTCGCATACACTGCGGAAAGGATTACAATTCCTTTGAAACGTCCCTGGGAATCCTCTTATTTTAATTGTATCAAACTCACAAAAGGATGGATGAGGGTGTGGATGTGGAAGAGAGTGTGATGCGACCTTATTCCCTATTTCATCACAAACAATCATACAAAATGAAGAAAAAAACACTTTTAGTTAACTTACATATTATATGAATTGCTAACGAAAAGCAAATTATGTAACATTAATTAGCGGGGAAAAATAATGTAACATTTAGTGACATGAAAATGACATGAATCCATAATAAATAGAGAATTAATTAATCACCATGAACGAGACAAATTGTCAACAAAACAAAAACACATATCGATAAATTTTGGGTTTTCATGATTGCTTTCTCTCCTTTTGATTACTGTGTGTATGGATTATTGGTAGTGAGGGGAATTTTCAAACTAGACAATCACTTTCAGCTGCATATATAAGAAAATTTGGCAACAAGACTCCTCCTTTATTTTTGTAGATCCTAACTTCTCCTGAGTCCTGAATAATAGGTCAGGTGAAAATAAACTTATGTGAATTCATAAAAAAGAGATCCTTTGTCCCCTTCACAATTATTTTCTAAGTGATAATTTTTCGAGAAAAAGTAGGCAAATCTTTGACTATCTTGATCATTATAGCAACATGTATTCAAAATATGTAAAAATAGCAAAAAATTTCGTGCTCCTTGACAAATATAACCAATTGTATTACCTTAATAGAAATGTAATGTCGTTAACTTAGTTACGTTTTTCATTAATAGAGTCAAGACTCAAGACGAGGTGATTGACAATCTATTGTGGGTATATCAAGAAATCTAAAAACATTACCTTTTTATTATTTTTTAGATTTTAAACATTTTGAAATAGGCAGATTACTTGAGAGACATATCCTGCTACATATCCGGAGACGAACTGCTCTTTGCAGGCGTTGTTGGCGATGGAGTTGATGAGGCGGGGGACGAGATTGGTGATTTCGTCCGGATTTCCTCCACCCTCCCTCCCACAGATTCACCACCGCCAGAAGATTCCACTCCGCCCTATGCCCAATCAAAGCCTCCATCACCAATCTTGACCGAAGATCTTCCCTTCAGTCGTCCTTCTTAGCTGGCAACAAGGATTTTCAGTCGTTCAACCCTGAATCGACGGGGCGGCCTCCGATCTATCGACCCATCACCAATCTTCAGAGATCAGGCTCTATTCTATTTCCCCTTATCCAGCCTTTCCTTGGTTTATTGATTAGTTGTTTGAATCTCGTTTCTTGATTGATTAATTATCAACTTTCTTTGTTCTTTCATTTTTAGATTCCATCACAAATTTATGTTGCTTTTAGTCGGCTGCTTCAGTTATGTACTGCCCTTTTCTTGAGCTCTGTTCCAGTCTCACTTCTGCGCTGCGACCTCGTCGTAAACCCTGACTGCCTTGACGCTTCCATCTCCTTTGAGTCTCACATCCGAGCTGCGGCATCGGCGGAGAGGCCTGACCGTTCTCATCGGGACTGCTGCGGCCTCCTCTCTCACCAGGCTATCGGCTTCTTCCTCTGATTGGTGTGGCGGTGGGATAAGGATGAGCACTTTCGTCAAGCGGTCGGGTGGATTACTCTCCTGTGACTATCATTATCTTGAAGCGAAGCGAAGCGGTCGGGTGGATTACTCTCCGCAGGTTACAGCAGGGAAGCTTCTGTCCCTCAAAAGTAGAGGAGGGTACTTTTGCTTTTCCAGCTGCTGATGAGGTGTCACTCGTGGCACTTGGGCCTATTGGGCCGGGATTATTTTTGTGTTCATTGTTTTGCAGGTAGCTTGCACTTCAGGTTGCTGTTGCAGGCCCTAGCTTTTTGAGGAGATTCGAGTGCTGAAGTCCTCGTTCACGCTTATTCGTTTTGTTTTTTCCCCTCGTAGGACTAACAGGGCTGCCCATTGCGTGGCATAAACGGCTCTTGCATCGGCTAATCAGCACTTGGCTTATTTCCGTTATTTATTTTTCAACTGTCTGTAATTCCCTACCTATTAAAGAGCTAACTAAGTTAAAAAAAAAAAATGGCAATCATACAATCCCATCGATACACATGTCACTACACATTTAATACTGGTAACAATAACACCTGCATACTACTACTACGCAGTGCTGCCCACAACACAGGAACAACAAGTGGTCCGTCGTCGTAGCCTCGTACACCAGTCCCGGGTTCAGCGACCCTGTGGGGTTCAACTCCCCTGCACCCAAGTCGTACGGCGTCGCTTCTTCACCGGCGTCCGTTGTGATGAGGGATCCCACATTGTTTGTCACAAAAGCTAGACAACAAATTAAGGACAAATTACAGAATAGGTTAGTTCAATAACACGTTTTAATTTCCTATGTGTTGATGTGACTTGAATCGAACTATTAACCGCTACGATTGGTAGTCGGTGGTCTCGCAGTTATTTGGATTCGGGTTCTGGGCCTGGTCTATAACCGTTTCCTTTGCCATATTGGATTAGGTTTAGACCCATATGGAGAAGTACTATAGATACTCTGTAATCTGTAATCTCCTCGATATAGTGAAACTGACTCTCTCTCGCCCGTGAACTAACTAACACACATCGTGTTAGAGAATCATGTAAATCGTGTGTCTGTGTTTTTCGATTCTCGCTTTCGTATTCTTGCTTTATCGATTTCGGCAATTTCCCGATCCGTAACAGCGCGTTTAGAACACTATGGATGATGAAGTACCGATGGAAGTGAACTACCTGTGGTCATGATGCTGATTTGATAGCAAAGGGGCTGAATGAAGGTTGGGCATTCTTGATGGCGGCGACAGCCCCTGCGACGTGGGGACAAGACACCGATGTTCCAGATATTATGTTGAACGATGGCGGCTTTCTGCCTTTTGGGGTGGACTCTGAGTCATCCCCGATCCACGCCGCCAGAATCGACACACCAGGAGCTATTACATCAGGCTGCACAACATCAAATTAAATCAGTGGAGAGCTAGAAGCTACAATCACGATGATAAGATTTGAATAACGTAGAGAGGGTTGGGTTGGGTTGCCTTGCCTTGATTATGTTGGGCAAATTGACAGAAGGTCCCCTGGTGGAGAAGTATGACACTTGTGGCGCTGGTCGATAGTTTCCCACCGTTACCGTTGGGAGTATGGTAGCCAGCGGGTCCCTAGTTCGATTGAGGGATTAATTAGCAAAAAATGTTGGTATGAATGACAAAATTACAGTAGGTAGTTTCATTATGCTTTAATTTTTACACGGTGATGTTGAGATAAGACTTGAGCTTGACTGCTTCCCGTGAGCTGACCACTGTAACGGGGAAGTCGCCGGAGTACTCGGCTACCCTTCGGGTCACGTCGTCGACGAGTATCATCCCCAACCCACCTTTACCCTGCACCTCATTCGCTTGAGTCAAGAGGTTGATAGTGGGATCTTTCCCTTTCACCTCACAGATGACAATTTTCCCTTCTGTTTTCTCCCTTTTCAGTGAATCCTGTTGGCAGTCACTGCAATTGACCAAACCACAAAACAGAGATGGTTGGCCGTTGGTATAATTGACCAAATGAAACACAAGAATGAATTTAATTAAACGGAGTACTTCACCTTGCTGCAAGATATGATGCATTCCCTTCCTTGGCTGTGCTGCCGTCCGTCAACGGATGTATCGGCGACCGATCAAGATCCGGGAAGGTCAGCCACTCACCCTGTTTGTTTAGAAAACAGAGGTATTTTGTTTGAAGTTCTCTGTTTTTTTGAGGAAAACTGAAGGCTTATTAATTTCTTTACCTTGACCACTCCACCTCCACCACCCAACACGACATCTGCTCGGAAAACTCTGTCGATGGTGGAGGCGCCGACGGTTATGATCCATGGTGCGTCGTTGAAGACACTCGCCGGATCGGGTCCTGTATTGCCGGCGCCGGCAACTACGGTGATCCCTCTCTCGACGGCGTGGAAGGCGCCGATCGCGACCGGGTCCCTCAGGAAGTAAGGGGAGCGCGACGGCACTTCGTCGGGGGCGCTGGAGACGGAGATGTCGTGGACTCCGTCGCCGATAGCGTCGTCGAACGCGCTGAGCATGTGAGAGCCCTTACACCGCAGCCTGTCGTTGCAAGCTTTGTAGACGGCAATTCTGGCAAACTCCGACCCTCCCCTCGCTGTCCCTGTAGCTAGGTCGTAGTACGAGGCTTTCCCCACCGCTGCTCCGGCCGCCGTCGACGCCACGTGGGTCCCGTGCCCTGCCCAGTCCCTCGCCGTTCCGGTCACATAGTGTCTCGCACCAATGATTTTTCTGCGCTCCAACACAAACAGACAAAACACCAAAATTGTAAATTAATTAATTTAATAGAAAATGCCACGTCGATTTTGTTTTTTTTTTTCCGTTTATATTTACCCGTTGCAGGCGGTGCTCGCCGACTTCAACATCACGAGGAATTCTTGGCTAGTCCGGGCTCACCACGTCATTTTATACAGCTGGTACTCCGTTCCAATAAAAACATAACACGTGTTAATTACCTTAATTAATGAACAACGTTTATTCTTCTTTCTTCTTCCTGTTCCCTATCCGCTCCATCTCCTGGAATTCCTTTTACCAGTCGTAATCATATTCCGGCTACATCCATAGTTCTATATATAATATATACATAGCCTCTCCTCCATCTTCTTTTCTTGATTTTATGCATTTAACGGACCCTTTTATTTTTGGAAACATTATTCTTCATGTTTCTGGTGATCAAGAACAAGGAAATAACCGTACATCTTCCCGCTCCGGCGCCGGAGTTGAATCCAATTTTATAAGCGTCGCAGATTATTTCAGTTTCCGAGCGCCGTTGGAAGCTTTAAATCTAGAAGTGTAGTTCCTACTTCCTCGGCTTAAATTGGAATTCCACAATTGGCCTCAATTCTAACAGTCCTATTCTAATGGCTTCATCGCTGCCGCTCCTGGATTAGAATTCCTTTTTGAATCCCCAGATCCCTTTGGTAGCAAAATTGAATTCGCCAGATCGATCCCCTTGCTTACAAACGCTTGAGCCTTATCATAATTATTCCGGAAAGAGAAGACGAAACGGAGATTGATGAAGAATATAAAATAAAAAAAATACATGAATTCATTGCACGTGTCATCATTTGATAGGATGGGAGCACCAACTAGACAAAATGACGTGGTGAGCCCGGACTAGCCAAGAATTCCTCGAAGTCGGCTCCCGCCATACACGTCCCGTTCCAGCCACGTGGAGGGTTTGAATTGGTGCCTTCCGATTTGAAGCTCTCCGATTCGGGCCAAATCCCCGTGTCGATGAACCCAATCACGAGCCCACTACTTGGGCTTGAGGTACAGAAACCGGGCCTGATGGGCCCAGCAAGCGGAACGACGTCGTTGGATTCGGTAAGCTCTTGTAGGAAGTCCCATGATCAGGGGCGGACCCAGGGGGTTTTAGGGGTGTCCCTGGACACCCCTAAATTTCGGGAAAATGATTATCCAACCCCCGGTGGTAGTTTACGTATAGACAAAAAAAAATATAATTGATAGTGAGGGACACTCCTGAAATTTGAAAAAATGATTATCATACTGTCATTTGTGTATAAAAATATAAACGGTAGGTTGGGTAATTCAAATCTAGAACACTATTATTATTAATAAACTTAATTTCCGTTGAGCTACAACTCATTTGTTGTTCGATTTTGAACAATGTATAATAGTAAAAAGTCTTCCCTATCTCTAATTATTTCAATCTAAACTAATTTCAATCTACCCTTAATTTGTATTGATTTTATGATTGTACGACAAGTGTTGAAGAGTCTTTCAGATTTGGGTTACATCAAGAACAAATTTACAAATCGAATATGCGATAAGTTCCTGAATGATTGTCTAGTAGGGTATATGGAGAATTTTTTTTAACACTATAAACACCAAGTGTATTCTACAATTATTTTCGAATATGAAAACACATCATGGACTTTTTTAACCTGTACGAGTAAGGTATTTTCATATTTACGATTTTATTTTTATTAATTATTTTTATTTTTATTTAATTTATTTTTTAAAAGAGGACACCCCCTATGGAAAATTTCTGGGTCCGCCACTGCCCATGATCGACTGGTTAGGAGCTTGTAGGACTCGTCCGGGAAAACGGAGATGACATGGGGATGATCAGCAATGGCGGCCGCCTCTTCTGGAGAAAGACGGGCAGAGAAGCCCGACAGGCCGTGGCGGTAGGTTCGGAGTGGATCGATGGCCCTCCCGCCGTCTCTGCCAAAACAGACATGTATGTTATGTATGTCCAAGTGATCAATCAATTGAAGCCAGAAGAATAACAGAGATATTAATTATTTACCTTTTAAGCATGGAGTTTATCGCGCTTTCCTTGGCCGGGTTCGCCGAACCCATGTACACGATGTACACTTTGTCGGCGGCGGCGGAGGAAGCTGCTGATTTTGTTATTAATGATGGGTTCATCATCAATGTGATGAGTAGCAGGGAAAGGCAGTTTAAGGCCATGATGGATAATATGGTAAGGATTAATGCACAAGAAGATCAAATCAACGAGGTTTGGTTTTGGAAGGTAATTTTGATTGTGATAAGTAGGCGGGCAGCAGCCTAGTTATTTATAACATAATTTTGAGGCGAAGGGCTGGTTGTTTGTTGGACTTTACGTACTCGATCGGTTCATTTCACAGTTCACCACTTTTGCATGCCCACATAATGACGCATATATTATATAGGACGTAACAGTAACAGTAACAGTTTAGTACCATACAAAACACATTGGAGACATCCATTTTTTATGTTGTTTTCCCCCAAATGTATGTCTATGGTCTCACCTATTGTTTCTGCTAGGTGTAAGCATACCAGTATCGTACTAGGATCCCAACGGAAAATATTTGCAACTACTAAAGTAGAAGAGTCGTTTTGATTTGTGACTACGGACTAGCTAGCTAGCTAGTAACCGTTTTGTTGGAACATCGTTTTTGTGCTGCTGCGACAAGATGGTAGGGTAATAGTAATTCCGTGGTTGTTAATGTTCAATTATGGTAGTGTTAATGGAGTGATCCAGAATTCAGGGTGCATCATACAAGTCATTTAGCATCAACGGTTGGTTTTAATATTATGATCCATTCTTATTTAGCTACCTTGCAAAATTGATTTAGCTTCATTGAACATTTTTTTTAACTATCAGTGCTTACACAGTAGCAAAGAAGAAGACTGTTAGCAAGCATCCAAAATCACTATTTCATTGGCCAATATGTTTACAAAAAACCATCCATGAATCCTCCCTTCCAAGAAGTATTGCCCTTCCAACACTCCCGGTTTCCCTCTTTTATCAGGCTAGTTCAAGATTCAGAGTACACCAAACTGGCTATCAATTACTAAACACAAAATCATTTAGCTGGTATTGATAAGTGTATGCGTGTGTATTAATTACCAGATCTCTTCAAATAAGCAAAAAACCCTAACCCAGCAACCAATGCTGCACCTGCTGCCACTGTACTATAAGCAGTTGCCCACGCATCTCCTTGTGCGTAATCTAAACTTCCTGAACTAGACTGCTGCATCCCCCTCCCTCTTCTATGACCCTTCACTCCCGAATAGTCTAAATGCAATTTCAAACCCTGCACACCAAAATCCAACATCCGGACGGGAATTCAGATTTCCTACTACGACAAAGACAAGGATGTTCTGGACAATGGGTTACCTTTAAACCGGTTACTCTCGCATGCTCTACGGCAGTTGATAGATCATTGTCGCACTCGATAACAACTTTGTCGTGGTCTTCGTCTTCATACTTTTTGAAAATGGGCACGCATTAGCATATTGTGTTCCAAGAGATAACAAAATTAGGAAGCTAAGAGGCATTACAAACGAAGGCTGCGTACCAAAATTTGAGGCAAGTTATTGCGGTCGATATCATTCCCAATCCGTTGAACAATCGCTGTTATTAGATCCGTCAAACTTCGAGTTTCTATTTGTGTAAAAAAGATAAATGACAATGTCAACGACTCGTTTCATTAGCATAAGATTCTAAACCCACCACGACAAGATGAACTGAGGCTTTTGATTATTCTTCTAGTCTATCAAGCTGCCGCACTATAAAACCCTAAGTCTAGGATAGTTGAGTCAAATTCAAGCACCCGTATCATGCAAATGCAGAACTGCACAAACTAAATACTGAGCGACCAAACAATGGCTGACAAGAAAATCATACCACATGTAAATCTGTGCATCCTTCCTCGTTTATCTTCAATCTTGAAAGAAAATGTATTTGGCACTGACGATGATGGATAGGGAAGGGTTCTCCCAGACTCTGTTCCTTCAGAATTCAGTTTCAATGATCCCTCGCTGAATTACAAACAATACCACATAAGAAGACAAAACAACTAATCAGAAATCCTAGTCTGATGAGAAGTATGAGAAAGAAGAATGAAACCTCCGAGACTCATCATCATCATCATGAGGACTTAATGCCATTGCAGAATCCCAAAACTTCTGCATCATTGTGCTCGTGGCCTCATTACTTACTGCCCCGGCATTCCCAGCCTGTTTTAACACAGGAAGAATGTGAATAGTGAATACACAATAGTGACTAGTGGGCAGCATATCTAATTAATCTCCTTGGAGATGTTTGACTCATAGTACACAACTTAAGTTACAGTGCATAAAAGGAACAGCTCTACTTACCGTGGCCACAGCAGCATGAGTTATGTGAATCACATCTATAACAGCAACTACAACACCATCTGTACACATCCACATATTCATCAATAAAAGAACTAAGGGATGGATAAATTAAATTTATTTCTGTTGGTTTGTGACAAACACATTACCCTTATCCACAACAGGAAGATGCAAAAACTTTCCATCGTGCATCGTATGCAAGGCATCAACAATTGGTGTATCAGTCGTTGCACACTCAGGATTAGGAGTCATGACCTGCAGGTGCAAACAAAGGAAACAACCTCAATCAAGATTGTCTCTTTTACATTGAAAAGAGAAGTGATGATATTCAACATGTTCCCGTAGCTACAAGCACTAGGTAATATGCCTATGGGACATTTAGAAACACGCCAAACACATGAATGCTGATGTCTTTTCAGGAAAACACAGAGCCAATGATGCAACTAACAAAAGAAGGATACCTTTTCAACAAGGGTGGAATCTGGGGCATGATTTTGTGCAATCACCCTCATCAAGATGTCTTTTGAACTGAAAATCAAAAGCACAAATTACCTGATTTTAAGGCTTTCCGCCAGGAAGAAAGCAAAAATTTCTAATTAAAACATAAGTTTCCTTCTCTCACCATTCTTTACCCCAGGAATTGGAATAACCCTTACATTACAATTTGGTCATATGAGAAACAGAATATATTTTAAGTACTTTCCATTGGCTCCAGGTCCACATTTAAATGAAGGGTACAAGGACTCACGTAAGAATTCCGCGTGGTTTATTATCAACTATCACCACAGCACAGCTTGACCGAGATTCAAGCATCTTCTTTGTCACTGCCAAAACTGTTTCAGTCGGTGAAACTGTTACAACCCTGAAAGATATCACAATAGAATCACAATAATCAACCTGCAAAAACTTGAAATTAGGGTACACTCTGCATGAAAATGAAAGGAACCAAAATATTACCTACTTTGAATTCTCTGGAACTATTGTTGATAAGGAAGGCCTGAACATCCGTTCCCGAAGTGTCTCGATAAAAGAATTTTGTCCTGCAAGCCAATCATAATAACATATTAAGTAAACGTAAACCAAACCGACAACTGTAACATATCCAACAACTGATTTAGGAAGATGTCTGCCTAGAAGTTACATAGGGAGACATGGACAAACCAGAAACAGAAGCACCCCAATTTTTCTCAACACCTTCAACAGCCGCAGCAATCGCCTTCCCCTTTTCAGCAGCCCTTTCCATACGGGCAATAGCATCATATAAACACTTGGCTATATCAAGTAAAGCGACAACCTCCCCGTTTTCTACAACAGGCAAATGTCTGAATTTCCCTGTATATAAAAACTATTAGGATCGGTATGCTAAGTGAGTGGGCGAGAAACAATCTGCAACTTGCTACCTAATTACAAACCTTGCACCATTTTCTGCAAAGCTTCCACAGCCAGAGTGTCAGAGAGAACAAAAACCGGGTTCCTGGTCATTACTTTAGAAACTGGAGTCTCCTCGAGATTGATCTCCCGAGCAATGACCCTTGTCGCTATGTCCTAACATGAAATAAATCAGAAGAAAAAAGGTTAAAGGCGGCAAGTAAGTGATGTTCATTGAAGAAACTTCCCTTCCAGCAAGCTGGTAATTATGATAATGTTACAAACCTTGTCCGTAAGGATTCCACAGAGTAGTGCATTTGAATCGGTCAGCAATAATGCATCAACTCTTCGGGCAGCCATACGTCGGCAGGCATCATATATACTTGTAGTTTCAGGTACCGTTAAAGCCTTTGACAAACGCAATCGCTTAACAGTTCGCTCTCCGGTTAAACCTCTGTCAAAAAACATAGGAGTTCGTTTGAGAGCCATGTTGTGCTAGCAGGGACAAACAAATCACTACTTCTATTCCGATGTGAGAGCGAAACAACTATAGTAACATGCAACTTTTAAATTTTCGATCATATTAACAACAAGAATGCATACGTGCAGCTGACTGTCTAAAAGCAAACAGGACAAGGGTCCTGTCACATTTTCTACAAATGCTCCAAATTTCCGATAAATTGAAATACATAGTGTATCATCATGAAGCTCAAGCTCATCAGGACAATTCGAAATATTTGTTGAATTGATTTCAGACATTTCTTACACTCGTGATTGCTACAGAAAAGAGCGATGTTGTTTCCAGTACCAATCCGGTAAATTATCTCTTGAATTACAAATTGGCAGGAGACTAAATCATTAGTCAGGCTTCGATGATGAAATATTACGACCCATCAACATCAACATAAAACAAACTTAAGGAGATAGAATCCGAAAGAATCTCAGAAACCAATCTGCCAAGGAAAGCGTCAAGCTCAAATCTGATCGCCCACGAAACAATCTCGGAACCCTGTTAGACGAAATCAGAACTTACACAGGACGAGAAATGACGATTGATTTGCGCGACGGGTCACCAGTAGCTCCAATGTCAGTGGTGGATTTCCTCCGGCCGTTCACAGAGGCGCTGGAGAAGGTCAAACTTTTCCTCGAAGAGCCGCCTTGACTCGCCATGTAAATAACAAATTGGCGGCGATTCTCCCTTCTCTTTTCCTTCAAGCTCCCTGCAACAAAATCAAACCTTATAGCTTATTCATTTCCCAAATTTCAAGGCACCATAACAGGAAAGCGAACGACAAGGAAGGAAAAGAAAATCGACAAAGATATCCAAAAGCAAAACCTGAAAAGTTTGACGATCGCCAAAGCAATGTCAACCCAAAGCAAATAGATATTCCGATTAATCAAAATCTTCACGAGGAAGATGATTCAAAATTGGGGGAAGAGGAATTCAGGGGAAGGGGAGGGGGGATCAGTCGCGGGTCGGGATTATTTTCGGAAAATACGA